GAGCCGGCCCTGCCGCGGCCCCGGCCTCCGCCGCGGCCGCCTCGCTGGCTCCGGTTCAGCTTAATGATGTCGTCCAGAGACATGTCCATTTTGTCGGCCATGGCGGGCGCGGAATCGGCCTCGGCTCGAGCCCGCGCGTCAGCACGCCGGCGCGTCACTTCCGGAGCCGCGCGCTGTCTTCCGGTGCCGAGGCCTTGGAGAGGCCGGGGATTGGCTGCGAGTGGGCGGTGAGGGCAGGGCGGCGCGTGCGCGCTAGGGAGAGAGTTAGGCGAGCGCTGCTGTTAAGGTGCCGAGCAGTGGCCGGTCGTTTTTATACCTTCCCGCGCGGGCGCTGCCAACGGAAGGCGGGCGGGGCAGCGCGAGGTTAGGCCGGCGGAGGTGCGAGAGCGCGGGGCGGAGCGCGGCCGTTAGGGCGGGACGGGCGCGCCGCCCCTCCCCCGCCCTTGCTCGCCCGGTGCCTTGAGCCCGCACTTCTCCCCCGCGCACCCACCCTCTCCTCGCGCTCCCGCGCCTTCTCCCTCACCCTCTTTCCCCGCGCCCCTGCGCCGTCCTGCACCTCACCCCTCCCCCGCGCCCGCACCCCACCCCTCCCACGCGTTCTCGCGCCTCCCCCCCGCATCCTCTCTCCGAACTCGCGCCCCGCCCCCCACCTTCTCCCCGCGCTCCCGCGCCTTCCTCGCATCCCACCCCTTCCCGGCACTTGACCCTCTCCCCGCGCCCTGGTCCCGCCCCGCATCCCCCTCCTCCGCACTCTTGTCGGGTGGTGGTGGCGGCGGCGTTCGCCGACCAAATCTTCGATGACCGGGGCCGCAGGCTGAGCGGGCTGGGTGGTTGTTCCGTGGTGTGAACTCGTAGTCAGCTGGGTTGGGGTCTCTCTGGGAACCCTAAGTTAGTCATAACCCTTTGAAAAGCACCGTATGGTACGTTTTTGCAATTATTGGTGAAAGCCCATGCTCCGTTTCCTGGACGCAGGGCAGACCGTGCAGTCTTTGTAGATACCCTGAATGTGTAGGGAGCCTCCCTCTTGGGGCACTCTGTCCCCCCAGGGGCACCCGGGCCCTGCCCCCGCCGTCCGTGCTGACGCATTTGTGCTTGTCCGTCCGGATTTCTCAGAGCTCTGGCAGCAATCCCAGCCCGTGCTGAACCTCGGGCTCAGAGCCGCGCCCCTTTGGTGCCCAGATGCTGTAGCTGCGCAGACTAAGTGTAGCTCCCTGACCTCTTTCCCTCCGCCTGTAGGCTCCGCGGCCATGAAGGTGAAGATTAAGTGCTGGAATGGTGTGGCCACTTGGCTCTGGGTGGCCAACGACGAGAACTGTGGCATCTGCCGGATGGCCTTTAATGGATGCTGCCCGGACTGTGAGTGTCCCCGGTGTTCCCTCCCTGTTGAGCGTTGCCTGCTTGCCTGGCTGTGCCATCTCCCCAGAAATACCTGCACAAAGAGCTTGGGTTTTGGTGTCCCTTTCCTCAAGAAAAGTTGACAGGAGAAGGCCAGGTGGTTTGGGCCCATGTTCGTATAAAGAGCTCATCAAAAGTTTTCTAAGAAAAAGTGATGTTGCCTTTTATTGTGGTCAAAGTCTGCGGGCTATAAAGGTATGTTAGAACTCTGTGTTTGAAGATTCTCAATCGAACACAACCCAGAATATTGTAGGGCTACCCCTCCCCCCACCCAGCACACAGGATCACAGCGGCTAAGGGACCTTTCCACCTTTGCTTCATGGTTTGGTAACCGCTAACTAGGACGCCTGGTTCCACTTCAGCCGAGTCTCTAAATGTAACTCCGACTTTTTATGGGGAGTGCTGTCACATCAGATGTGACGTGACGATGAGTCCCTAGGGTCACCCCCATTCCTAGTCCTTGCTTAGATTTTTCCTGTTGTCCATAGATGTCTCTTCACTGTGTGGTGTGAGCAGGATCCACGATTGCTTGCTTTGCTCCGCCCTGGCTGTTCAATATTAACATAGAACAAGGCCTTCCACCCCGCTCGCAGCTTTTTCAAGGTGTCTGACCAGGTTTTAATCAGATTTCTTTGTGGTGGTTTTTGATTCATCTTTGTTCCCATTATGTTCTGTGAAGTAGAAACGCTTTGAGTCTATTTTTAAGTCAAAAACACATTTTTGCACCAGTGAATTTTGTTTTTAGCCAAACCGAAGTGAACTTGAACAGAAGCAAGTTGACCCTTGGGGGGACAAGGGCGGTCCCAAGAGGAAAACGGGACATGGGGAATACTGAGGGGCCACTCTGTCCTGTGAATGGCGAGGCCTCTTTTCTGGGGTCAGGTGAGTGCCCAGGATAATAATAGGGCTTTACTTTTTTTTTAAAGATTTTATTTATTAGAGAGAGAGAGTGAGAGGGAACACAAGCAGGGGGAGTGGGAGAGGGAGAAACAGGCTTCCCGCCGAGCAGGGAGCCCGATGTGGGGCTGGATCCCAGGACCCTGGGATCATGACCTGAGCCGAAGGCAGACGCCTAACGACTGAGCCACCCAGGCGCCCCATATTCTAGGCTTAATCTTTACATTTGCTTTGGCTGAAAGGAAATCTCCTTTCCCAGGACTTAATCCGTCCTGATTTACTCAAATGGGTGGATGTAATCTTAGCAGATCACTGACTGGTTCTAGTTGATTAAGTTTTACGTAGTCTCAAGATTCGGTTTTATTGAATCTACTTTAAGGCACTCTTAAATGCTTCCTTAGGGACACAGCAAAGGCTGTGGGGTCCTGGATGGGCACCTAGAGAAGTCCTGCCTAGATTGGCTGTGGGAGAGTGAGTGGGGTGGTCAGGATGGCATGGGCGCACAGCCTGGGCGCCCAGCTGCTGCCGTTTCAGCGGGGCCTGTGGCTGGCATCTCTGCACCTGCCAGTGTGCCCCGGTTTTGTGGAAGGGGGTCTGTTGGCCACAGAGGAGGGGGTTTAGAGCCTGATCTTCAGACCCAAGGTCAAATTTGAGAGCAAGTCGTAATGTGCCAAGTGTCTGACACGCTTAGGTGCTCTTTACACGGATGAGGTGACACTGGGTTTCTATTGCTAAAATTGAGCTCTTGTGAGAAAGCCAGAGTGACTGAGGCTGTAATAAATCCGCTCCCAGTCCCAGAGAGCTTTGGGAGTAAAAGTCTTCTTGAGAGGTGTTTTCATGATGAAGGATTTCCATCAAGACACAAGCAAGCGCTTGGGTGGGTCACCGTCACTGCCCCTGTGCTCATCATATGCCTCAGGCGGGCTGCCTGCTGGTGACATTACTGGAAACGACTCTTGCCTCAGATGGACCGTGTGGCCTGCGTACTTCCCCATTAGCGGCCACCAGGGCATCCCCTGCCCCCCACCAGTGTATCCTCTCTTTGCAGGGCACTCATTCCAAGCTGAGTTCTGCTGGGCTCAGGAGGGCCCTGGGGGTGAGGGGGATGTAATCTCAGGTGTCACACCTAGTGGGCTCTCCTGGCACAGGGTCTCAGGCGCCCCCCACGCCCCGCCCCCCGCCCCACCCCGGTGGCTGGGGAAGCAGAGTGAGTAAGGTAATTCTGGATTAGCCAAGTATATAATTTTCTAGTTGTTTTGTGATCAAAGTTTCAGAGAGACAGTGATGTTTTGTTATAAAAAGGATTTATTTTTCATTTTTAAAGATTCTATTTATTTATTTGGCAGAGAGAGACACAGCGAGAGAGGGAACACAAGCAGGGGGAGTGAGAGAGGGAGAAGCAGGCTTCCGCCGAGCAGGGAGCCCGATGTGGGGCTCGATCCCAGGACCCTGGGACCATGACCTGAGCCGAAGGCAGACGCTTAACGACTGAGCCCCCCAGGCGCCCCTATCCTCTTCTGATTACGGGCAGTGTGGCTGTCCCCCCGTACCCACCCATGGAGGTAGCATTTCCATGCATGTGGAGTGGAGCGCTAGCAGCATGTGCCCTGGGCCCCGGAGGTGGGGCCCTTTGAGGCCAGAAATGAAAAAGAGGTGAAGGTAGCAGCATGCGGACTCCCGGCTGCTGACAGGTGGGGCCGCAAACACCGCTCCTTCCACTGTGCTGGGTCCCTGCTGCTTAGAAGAGGAACCTCAGTCCCAAGGCCCCAGCTCTCCTACGCTTGATCAGAAGAAATAGTTCCCTGTTCAGATGGTGGCAGGGGGAGCGGGGTGGCCCTAGATAGACCGGTGCTGGAACCTTGGTGTCCCAGGTGAAGGGGCAGAGCTGCGGTGCGTCTGTAGATGGGTCTAGAGCCCTCCCTGCAGCCGAGCACCCCCTCGCAGGGGAGGGCGGAGTCAGGGCCACCACTGCAGGCCTGTGCCTGTGTGCGTGCGTGCGTGTGTGCGTGTCCCGCACAGCGCGCTCACACTCCTGAATTCCGTCTTTTCTGAAACAAGGTGTGGGAGGCTGTGGACACAAGCCCCCGGGCTGCAGTGGGCTGGCGCAGGCGCCTGACATCCTCAGGCCCTGGGCCTTGGCCCCACCCTGTGTGACCGGCGTGATGCTCTCGCCCCTCCCGCAGGCAAGGTCCCGGGTGACGATTGCCCCCTGGTGTGGGGCCAGTGCTCCCACTGCTTCCACATGCACTGCATCCTCAAGTGGCTGAACGCACAGCAGGTGCAGCAGCACTGTCCCATGTGCCGCCAGGAGTGGAAGTTCAAGGAGTGAGGCACCCCCAGGCCCCCAGCCGTGGACTGGCCGGCCGTGCTCTCCCCTGGGACGGCCCCCCTCTGGGCCGCGACAGGGTTGACACAAGGACTGGAGCTGCGTTTGTTTTCCTTCAAATGGTGACACTTTATCCAATAAGTGAAACCCATTAAATTACCCGAACCTTGCTGGAGGGCTCTGGTTGCCTGTTTTCTTGGTCCCGATGCCGCCTCGCCGTGCGTTGATGGGAAAACTCATGAATAAACATCTCGATGAGATGCCACCAAAGCTCTGAGTCACAGTCCCCGGAGGAGAAGGAGCGTAGGATCAGCCAGAAGAGCCTGGGGCCAGAGTAACTGGCTCTGGGGGCTTGAAAGGCCTGGTGGTGCCAACAGGGGCACGAAGGCCACTCACCCCGAAGCCGGGGACCGCCTCGCAGACTAGTCTGTGCGACTCGGACCCGGCACGGCTAGCAGCTGCTGCCCGCGGTCCCTTCTGCTGAAGGGCTGTCCCTGAGCAGGTGCTGGTGATCTCAGTCCCTTCTCCCTTGTTCCAGCTTGAGCGTCTGGGCTGTGATGGACCCAGTGTAGGCCATGTCAAGGCCATCTGTGTCCCCAGGTGTCTGAGGTCCTCTACTTAGAGAAGAACAGCCCGTGGGAGGCTCCTTTGGGCACCTTTGTTAGTCCACAGCTCCAGGTTGGGGGGCGGCCTCTGGGGGCCATGGCCCCAGCCCTGGGAGTCTTGGCTACTTCTGGACAGACCGCTGCAGGCTGCATGTCCCTGTGAGCTGCAAGGAGTCACTTGGCACTGGTTCCTTCCAGTCCATTCTCAAGGGACACTCCTTGGGGATCACTGCCCTGTGCCTCGTGGGTGGCCAGCTGCCGAGCACTCCGACACTGCTTGTCCTCAGCACCCAGGTGTTGGCCTCCTGGTCAGTCACCTGTGGGCCTCCCTACTTGCTGTCTGGATGTTGTGCCCAGAGGGAGGGAAACCCTGGGGACCATCACTCTTCCCCAAGCTGGAGGTCACATGCCCTGTGTCCAGACCCAGCTGCCAGGGCCCCGGGCTGGGATCTGTCCTGGGAGGGCACATCCAAATAAGACACAGTGTGTCCAGAGTGTTTAGGGAGTGTGAGTGGAAGGAGGGGTGCCTGAGCAAGCCTACTGGCCCACGTCCTCTAGCAGCCGCACTTGGTGCCCCTGGGGCCTGGGCTCAGCCCCCCTGGGTGCTCCCAGCAGCCCTGCAAACAAACTTAGGTCTGGCTGCTGGGTCTGGGTGGCTACTCTCTATTCTTGAGCCTTTGTGTCTACAATGTCTTCGGATCTGAGGACTCCCAGGGAGGAGTTCACAGCCCAGTACGAGTGGTCTGTGACCCTGCAGAAGGCCCCTCGGGGCAGCATGGCAGCCCTGTAGCATCCTGGAGTTTCCTGGCCTCCCCCCATCCCCCGCCCCACCTCCCCTGCCTGGGGGGGGGGTTTCTCCTGTGGCCCACGACTGTGTGCCTGGGGCATCAGACCCTGAGTGCAGCCTCGCAGGCTTTCCGGCCTTGCCCTTTGGGGTGGATGTCCTCATTCTCAGAGGTGTCAACTTGCTCAAGGTCACGGCCCCTCCTGTAGGCTGTGCCTACTTTCCTGCCACTTGGAGGGCTCCAGCCTGGTCCTTGCAGGGCCTGCTTGGCCTCAAGCTGGCCATGCAGTTGCCCACCAGGTCCTGTCCACATCCAGCCATCTGTCTCCTCCCAGGAAGCTCAGGGCCCCTGCAGGGTCTTCTCAGGACTCCAGAACCTCAGCCCGCTCTCCCTCCCCCAGGACGCACAGGCTCACACCACCTGCCTTTGCAAACACTACCCTGGCTTCCCGTCACCCCCTCCCAGCTCCTGCCCCCCCCCAGTGCTCCCTTATTTTCCCCCCTGGTGAGCGGCTCCAGCCAGCTGTGTTTTCCCCTTTGGCTGTGGCTTGAGTCAGGGACTGGGTCTGATTCATCTCCCGTTGAACACAGGTGTTCAGGAGAGATGGCCTGAGGCTCCCGAGGGCAGCCGAGGGCAGCCGGCCTGAGGGCAGAGCTGGGTGGGAGGGGCCTCTGGGTTCCTGTCAGCTGTCCTTTGGCTCGGTTTCCAGAGGTCAGGCCTGGCCTTGCCGTCCACCTCCTCCTAAAGGACCCCACCTGTAGTAACCCTGTTAGTAGAAGCTTCGCCCGTGGGTGTGAAACACAGTGTGGCCCCCAGGCCCACCCAGACTTTGATGTCTCCTCAAGAAGCCCTGGCCCTGGGATCAGTTCCCCTTTAGGGCAGGAGAAAGTGTCCCCTGGGCAGTCATCTCTCCCCAGCCTCATGAGCACCGAGGACCTCTGGGAGGGGGGGCGGTAAGTGTTAGGGCTGGGGCGCCCTCGGGCTAGTTGGGGGCTCAGTTGCTGCCCAACTTGCCCCCTGCTCGCACTGAGACCCTATCCGGGCAGGACCCTGGACAGGGGGCGCGGCCTCGGCCCCCCTCCCGGAAGGTGCCGGCAGGGGCGGGGAGGATGGGGGCGTCGGATCCCCCCACAGGCGCGGGCCCCCAGCGCGGGAGGCACGGCTTCTTGCGGCGAGCGGGGGGGCCCGACGGCCGCTCTG